CAATTATTGATGAATCAAAACCTTTCGATCGACACTCTCTCCATAAAAAAAGAAGATAGTTCAAAAACTTGGAATAATCATCTTAATCAGAAAGGCTACTCACAACATAACTGCACTTGGTCGAGTACTGAAACGAGAATATCGCCAAGCTTTCATCATATTGTGTTTGATTGTGGCGAATGGACAGATGTTTATATTTAATGAAAATGTTCTTAACTGTTTCGTTTTTTAGGGTTCCCGAAATCGTGTTTATAGAGTTATTCAATGTCAGGAAAAGGAAATAACTCAGCTGATGAGTTCCTTGTCCGATGGTTGGAAATTTGAACAGTTAGTTAATATCAATTCATCCTCTGGCTATATTTACGGTGATTCAGAACATTGCGAATTTCTTTGTATTGTATCAAAACAATATGATCGTATGCCACGAGAAGATGCAAACGCTTGTGTGTCAGAACGAGTTAAAGTAACTTTGTTTTTGCTTTCTCACTCTCTTCAACGATACTAAGACGCTCCTATTTTTCTTTTTTAGATTCTTCAAGAACGTGGTTCAAGAATGTGATCAGACGAAGAAAAACTTATCTTCGATGTACATAGTGTATTAACTTGCATTTATTTGTCCTATATTCGTCGAAAAGAAATATACAATAATATCTTGTCATTGCGCAACAATTTTTTGGATGTTGTTAGTATTTTTATTGTATGCTCATTAATGATTCAGTATTCATTTTCTATTGATTTATTTATTTATCTTTCATCCTTTTGCTCAACTGAATTTTTTCTTATTTTATGGAGCGATCATAAAAAGGAAGCTGACATTTTTTATTTAACATAGATGAATTGATGACATGGAAATTTAAACAAAATACCATGTTTTTTCTGATTCAGCATACCATGCATCGGAAACTTTTTAATTCATTTTTTGTCAAAAAAAATGACAGTTTTGTAAGCTTTTTTTCCTTCATCTTTATTCTCATTTTTCTTAAAGTTTTCTTAACCTCTTTTTTTGTAAACTGTACATTGTGTAACTATGAAAGAGCGACTTTTTTTTGCGTCTGAGTGCTAGTCATTTTCTATCTTATTTTTTCGAATATACTTAATTCATATTCTATTTATCTCCTTTTCCGTGCTACATTTTCCACGTTGGCATGGCAGTAAAACAAAAAGAAGATACATTTGAAATTCAAAAATTAATCATTGGAAAGTATTGAATTGATTGGACAATTTCAACTGTTGTACAACATATAGATTATGACTAGTGAATTTAGTTTTGCAGTTTATTGTAAACATGAATCCATGTGTTACAGTCACAATCGATCATCACAATAATTGATTTTGTGTTTTTCGATAGTTTAAATTTTAAAATATTGTAACGGATTCATTTCCACTTAGACCGTGGAAGAACAAAGCTTAAATCAAAGAAAATACTATCATTTTCAATTTTGTTTTCTGTTTAAAACACGGAATATCTTATATAATGATACCTAATGTTTTTTCTACTTTTGTCTTATGTGATTTTTGTGAGAATGATGAAATAAAATATTGATGTAATCTCAGCTTTCATCTGAGTCTTATCTAATGAAATATCAATCAATACCTTTTTCAATACTTATGTGATACCGAAGCCAATACAATTTTGTTTACTGAATACCAATTAGCTATTAAAACAGTTTTAAAATACTGTTTAAATAGTGATCCTACACAAAAAAACGGCATTCTTATTTTGTATAGAAGGGTTATCAAGTGTTATCTTGAGTGTTATTCTTTCATACTTTTGACAGACAGCTGTTTAATTTGACAAGTGTGTTTACATAGTCTACTTCTCTTCTAAATAATAAAAGAATACTGTAGATGCTGTACAATACAGCAGTTAAAAGTTAAAAGTCAATAGTTTTGAAGATTGTTCGTTGCATGGTAAATATTATAATATGTATAATCTGTTATTCATAGCTCGACCAATTAGAATGTTAAGAATGAAGAAAACTATACGAATTCTATAAAATTTTATATATTCTAAATACTCATTAGGTGATTATTGATATCAAAGAATGCCAATATTACATATTTTCGTATAAATTAAAGAAAACTCTTCATATTCTTATGGGTTCTCGGTACTCGTATCGATCTGTTGGTACTCCAGGGGACTCCAGGAGTCTCATGGAGTCTGCTGTTTCCCCCTTGCGTTTTACACAACGTCTGTGTCATTTTTTATGTGATTAATGATGGTGCACCCAGCTGATTTGGACTTTGTATACGGTAGAAATCCAGTTCCTATGAACTATTCAATGGTCTCAATATTTTGGTTCGACATAAAGTACGTATTGGATGTATGAACGTGTTGGAAGAACAGTTTTAAACGGCGTACATGGAAGTGACATTATTTTGAATATTTTATTAATTATGTATTTCTACCATAGAAACTTGAGAATATAGATGTCGCATATAATCTAGAATATGTTTACTAAATTCCTCATGATCGAAAATCTATACAAAGTATTTTTGTCCTATTACTCCCATTTAATCTACTTTATTTGTAATTAGCTTTTTTCAGATTTTTATATATATTTTTAATTGTACTCTCTTATGATAATATCGTTGACTTAAAATTCAATGTTCTTCATCATATCATTTAATGCTACTTTATATCGCATACTTTTAACAGAAGTAATTTTTCTAATAAATCGTTTTCTGGCGGGGCTGTATAAATTTAGTAAACTTTAAATATAATTCTTTTAATCTTGATACGATCATTATCCACGATGTCCCTTCACCATAATAGGCGGAATCAGTATTATGGCCATTTATGTTTAATTTTTTACATTTGGTGATGTAATTATAAATAAATGTTGGACTTTCTAGTCAAAACAAAAAGGACAGGTGTTGATAAGAGGCAAAATCGGTTCCCGCACAGATCAAGCTCAAATTAATCGATCTGGCGTAGATTTGTCGGCGGTTAACCACAATATATTTAAGACTCGAAATACTCGGTGGCACCTCAACAAACAGGAAGATCAACAGAGCTCATTCTTATGATATCCATTTATTTTCTCGTTAACCACTCTACTTTATATACCATTCGATAGAGAATTTCACGGTCTACACAATGAGCTACAATACATTATTTCACATGTTTGTCTTCGTAGATGCACTGGGTATGCTCCATTTTTAGACATATAGACACATATCCGGATTCAGTTTTCGACGATGAATCCAAATATACCAGCCGCAGAGCTTTACAACGTTCTCGGGAAACTACAGGGCATTTTTTGAAAACGAGCATTTTTCGGGTCTTGGGGTCTCTCGCAGCAGAGTTGTAACCGGTCCGGCTGGATCGGTTGAGTGAGTTGGACCGGCCGGTTTTTACCGGTTTCACAAAGTTGTGCATATTCGTTCATTTTTCATCAGAAAGATACTATGTATGGGTGCTTAGTAGTTTTTTTAAAGGAAAGAGAGAGTGACAATTTTATTTGAAATGTAAATTTTTTCTTTTTATTCTTTCAATTTGTTTTCAAAGACAAAGTCATATTATTTATTGCTTAAAATATCTTAGCAATCGGAACATTGTCACGTATTGGCGTTTATATGCTTTTATCTTTTTTCTTTAATGTTAATCTAATTTTTTACTTTCGATATGCCGATACCGTAGCCTCCTAACTCAAATTCGTCTTAATTGGCTTTGTTATTTGACATAGTGAATCTCTTCCCAAATTTATTTTCAAATTATTCGTGACGTTTCGTCATTCGACAAACGACTGCTTAACTTGAGGAACTCGCCGGCTTTTACCGGTCTGGAAATATTTTTAGACCGGCTGGTGACTGACCGGACCGGACCGGTCTACTATTTCCAGACCGGTTACAACTCTGTCTCGCAGTTCTGAGCGATTGTTTAGCGAGGAAAGGGTTTTGAGCAACCGGGATGAGATATTCGTGATCGCCGTTCAATTCTCTATCGAATGCTGGGCGAAACACTCAAAAATAAATTCCACTACAGGTCTGCATTTTTTCCATCTTTAAAATAGGAGAAAAACAGAAGATGGAATTTTTGATTGTTTTCTAACAAAGAGAGGTCAAAAAGTCAAATTAACTTTTCTTGTATTCGAGTTGACAGCTTGTTGATTGATGTGACTTACAGGGACAATAAAGATAGCTAGAGAGAAGTAATTGCTCTTTTTCTAGGATTTTATTGAACCTCAACAACAACGTCGCTACGTTGTTGAATCAACTGTTAGTACACAATGATCGTTGCATGCTGCACCAAAACAGGCATACTTTTAATGCATTATGTTTGGAGCACGTAGAAGATAATATTAAAGTCTCACTTCTAGGCAAACTAGAGATCAATCTGAGTTTGAGAAATATCTGTAACATATTCTTTACTCATGTATGAATGGAACATACTTTGCTATAGTGAATAACGAAAATCTTTCGTTCCGTTTTTTCGAAGCTTACGTATTACGGCCCATCTCTATTCTTCATTCTTTACGGTTTAATTTATCAAACGTTTCAAAATGTATTCCGGTCGGTCGGTCGCTATTCCGCTGTTCCTCTATTCCTCAATTCCGTTATTCTTCTATTCTCCGACTATTCCTCTCTTATTCCTCTGTCATTCCTCTATTCCGCTCTTCCTCTATTCCCAAATTATTTTTCTATTAGAGTAAAGTGTCTAATTGGAACCGCAACCAGATTTGTCTAACTTGTGACTTCAGTATCTGAGTGAGTTTTGAAGCGATTTTCACCGAATTTGGGGGCTTTTGTAGTTGAAAGTCTTGGTTATTTAATGATCTAAAAATTATTATGAAATTCCCATCG